AGGTATACGCTAATCGAAAAGGGATATTTGGATGATGCAAGTGGGTAAACCAATCTATTGGGCAGGGCATTTATTGCCAGAACTTGAGAAATTGTTACATTATTTTTCGATATAATAATTAGTTAGATCAAATCATGAAATACGTAATATTTGCAGTGGACGAAGTCAAGCCCTCGAAAAAATATCAGGGTGATCCTCATGCACCGGCATGGCCTTTTCGAATTATAGTTGCAGGGGCTAGCAATTCGGGTAAAACGAATATGATTCTAAACCTGCTGGTGATGAACAAATTTTACTATATGTTTAGGAAAAAAAAGAGTTCTAAAATAGGTGAGCGCAATGTTAAATGTGATGACGTGATACTTTGTGGCCACCATCTTAACGAGCCTAAATATAGAATTGTTCGAAACTTTTATAAATATCTTGCGCAAGATAAATCCAAGCCATACTATGAAGATATCACATTCTCTACACTCACTCCTGATAAAATTCCAGACCCAAAAAAGTTCAATGTTAAAAGAAGTAAACTAACGATATTTGAAGATGTCTGATCAGACCCTCCAGCTATACAGAAAAAAATTATTCCATATTTTAGTAGAGGTCGCCACGAGAATATTTCTTCTATTTATGTCTCACAAAAATTTCACAGGATTCCTACGGATATTCGTGAAAATGCAACGCATATTGTACTCTTCAGTGGTGGAGGTTCAATCTGAAAACTTGCTGACATTATAAGTCCTTATACAGATGCTGATCAGCACAAAGCTTCAAAGGTCATCGATGGTTATTTGAGACAAAAGGAATTTGTGGTCATCGATATAAATAAACCGAGATCTGAATCCTTTTCACTTCGATGGGACACTCCGCTCAATTTGGAAAAGGAAATCGAATCGTTGGGCAATACTTCCAACTAGCTGTACCGGCAACCAATTACCTGATAATCATTTACCTGCCAAATCCCGAAATGTGTATTTTTTCTGAACCTCTAGGTCATATTCAGATTCTCTATGTCATTTCGCCCATAAATCTCTTTCACAATTGCTGGAATACGTTTCCGGTTCTGTAGTTACATTACTGTACTTCGTGTAAAAAAGAATCTGATCAACAAGAGCGATAATTTTTCTATCCTTGGCAGAGATAATATCTTCCAAATGCCAGCATTTATTCTCTAATAGGTCAATAGACTTTTCAGCCGATGCAAGAGCTTTTTTTGTATCAGGGATTATACTCTTGAAATAAGCTACCGAATTTGATAATTAGGAGACTTTCTCACCACTATCCTCTAAAGACTTGGTCATAGCTACCTCACGAGACTTATACTGTTCTTGCAAATCGAGAAGCTCTTCAATCTTTTTTTCCAATACCTGCTTTGATATACACAACTCCTCATTTTCTTGCCTTAACGAAGTTTCACAGTCGCTAGTAATAGGCTTCATCTTCTGACGCTCTTTTTGCTTAATATAATTTCCAACCGCCTTATTTAACAAATCTTCCACTTCAGGATGGATACTACTTGCCTGTTCTATCGATAATGGATGTTTTCGTGAAGTAAGACGTCGCCATGTATCTATTTTGATGGAACGAGGAAGCTGGTTAAGTTGCTTTGAGTAATATACGTGAAAAAATGGCGTTAGTATACCGGTCATTTCTTATAGATAATAAAAAATTTTGAGAATTTTATAGATTCAGAAATTTGCCAAGAAAATTTTATGAGACATAATGATGTTTCTCGAGGAAAATGCCAAGAATTTTTTTATTATCTAATACACTGCTTTATTAATAATATAACTTAATAAAAATTACATGTATGAAATCTCTATTCTATGAATTTTTGAGAATCATAACCGTTACTACCATTTCACTAGAACTATGCTCACTATCCCCAGTGTCAGAACTATATAATATTTTGTGAATCGTACATGTGACGGCCGTTCTCAGAGTCATCAATGCATGTATAAGCGGGTATACGGCACTTGGGGAAGTCATATGCAACGGAATTGTTGCCTCCTCTATTAAACAGTACTTGTAAATTCCTGATTCTTTTCGCATAGCATAAAGTTCTATAACATCGCCTAGAAATGGATCAAGCGGAATATAAATGATTTATGAATATATAAAAAAATAAAAGTAAATTATTCGTACCTGCGATGTTAATAGTGAATATGGACAAATTCTGCCTTTTCGATGGTTGGTTAAATATCTTTTTAAGCTTTAATATGCTTCTCGTAGTGTCAATAGAATCCTTGGAGAAACGTATTAATTTTTTATGATCACGAACCCTCTTATCTTGACTGGAATTAGGTCTACCGGTCTCAAGATAAATAATTTCAAGTTCAGCATTTTTTCCTAGCTGGACTACCATCATATAATCGGCTCTTCGGGCAATTTTATGAGAACCTTTTCGTATGGCACTAGCTGAACTTCCTTCTTCACCCCTTAATTTAGAAAACATTAATTATAGCAAAAGATATGATAGTGTTGCAATGTAACCTTTTGAACTAATCCTACCATATATCCCATGCTATCGGGTTTCCTGGTAAATCATTCATCACTATATTTAATAATGGCGCTAGCACCTTACAAACATATGATCCCTCATTTATCGATTTCCCCTTCTTTATATATGCTTCATATTTTGGCGACTTCCAAACCTTGAGCCTATAATTATTTATCAGTTAATGAGCAAAGTAAAAAATCGCATAAACGGATTTTAGCAAGAATTGCTTGCCAGTTACTCACATTGATTCTAACATCCGTTTTGTTAGATCTTGCAATTCTTTGGGCTTGTCCAACCATTCTCCATAATTAATATTACCCAAAACCTCATCCATGTTAATTTTCGATTCTTCGTTTTGGATAAATTCTTTACAAGCTTCCATTATATCATGATTCTGTTCTAACTTATATTTTCGAAATGGTTCCTTAAAAATATCAGAAACTGACCCAGGCATATTTGAAAAGGGTTCTGACTTGATATCTAGAACACCCGAACAAATCGGATGATTGAATCCAAGATTCTCCACATTTATTTCCTCAAGTTCTGTTTCTATTCTCTCCCACATGGTTTTCTCATAACTAGCGCTCTCAGTTATACACTGTCCAACATCACGCTTCAAAGATCGTAAATTTGCATTTGCATCTTCATGCCAGGCTTCAGTGTCAATTATCAATGCTTTCATTTCTGAGAGGGAACATAGATCTTCGAATGCAGTAGCGACCTAGAATTTAGTTAAAAAAATTAGTCTTCCAAGACTCGTTTCACAAACACATTAAATTTTATATCGCGAGATCAGATTAGGTTTCCATTTTCACGGAGTCTCAAGTGCTGGCAAAAGTTTGATATATAGCATATGGTATAAAACTAGTTACTACTGTGCGGGAAGTAATTATATTACAACGGACATCAGCCCTTCGCTAGCAATTATACCATACTAGAAAACCTAAAAAAAAGTATGTCATCATATCCATATATTCATCATGAAAATAGTTTATCGCCTTACCCGTTTAGCTAATTTTTTCCCGGTACCAAAACTTCGAAGCTTCTTTTTTCGTTCAACATCCTCCGAGGGGACTCGTTCTAAAACTTTTTGCAAAATATTTTCAAAGTTCTCCACCTCCTTTTCGAGATTGCCTGTCCATTCACCTTCCTCTACTCGTACAAATAATGCCGTAGAAATTCTGACGATATCAAGGGGTTCTCTGGTTAAAAGGAACTCTTCCATGTTTAGATAAAATAAGAAGATAATTGTTAGTGAAAAGCTTGCTAGTCGAAGTAAAAAAAAATAATGTATGGTAAATTCCAATACCTTTTCGCTATACCCTTTTAAATGTCTTGCATTTCCCATTCACGTCCTTTCTAATTCACATTCATGTTGGGGGAGAGATAGGAGATATGCAAGGTACTTTACGCCAAAATTTTATGTTTAAGAGTAAGACATGCGGAATGTGCATTGTAGATCTCAACATTGCAAAGGCGTTGGGGAATATGCATATACGAACTTTTTTTTCACCTGACCGCTTAATACTAAGACCTGGCAGCGTTATATAATGTATTTCTGTCGAAATTAGTGAACACCATATAGTAGAAATAGCCTGTAGCTCTGGAGAAATAAACTCACAAATTCCACTAAACGTTGCTAGGGAAAAAATTCAAAATATTTTTGGGTGTGTGAAATTATTTCATCGCACAAGCATAGAGTATCACTTATTACATCATATCCACTCAACGGGATCAGAAACACGTTTATTTTCTGTCGCACAGCCCACATGTATTGTCCGTAAGGTACTTGCATGGCTGGTCTAACCCAGATTAGGCGGATCACAATTTTTATTTCACATAAATTATGCAGGTGATACATTTCACTAGGCGATCACCCATACATTGTAGTGGAGTAAGCGAATGAAAGTAAAAAAAATAATTTATTGTATTATTAAGTAAAGCGTCTTTGGCTAATAATTATACATAAATATAATACTATATTATTTTGATAAAGAATCTATGGCCCAAAAAACTCGGCACACATATTCACAATTATTATTAGAATCTGAGAAATCTATAATGTTAAACTTTCCCTCAATAGTAAAACCATATTCAGATTTAAAATAGTCAATTTCTAGCGAATCACATGGATATGGTTTGCCTGTTATTTTACATCTATAACGCGCATATTCTGAACTTTTAACAAAGTTTACGTTGCCATTGTTATAATATTCATTAATACGGTAATATTCAGGATTCGATAGCCACTTTAACATATAAGACCAATCACCATATGTAACGATTCTATAGCCTTGCTGATGTAATACTATAAAAGCAACTATATATGCTATATTACCTAATCGATTATGTAACTGATCACTCTTCTTTTCTGCCCACTCGCGTGGAATATGACCATCATATAGATTATTCAGAAAAGATTCAGGTAAATCTTTAGCTAGAATTTTTCGATCAATATACCATACATATGGATCATAAATATCTCTTTTACCACGAGGAGATAGAAACTTCTTTTCGTCAGGAGTACCATCATTCCTCACCATATTCCAAACTCGTTTTGCCCAAGTTTCAGGTCTCAACTTGAAAGCTCTCCAAGCCCGTTGGATAACTATTGCACTGTTGAATAAGCGATATGCAATCTTTCTCTTAAATTCATCTGAAGCATGATAATTATAAAATTCAGAGCTTTTTCTGTATTTATAATAAATATTGTGATAAATCTCATCAATCTCAATAGAACTAAGCCCTTTTTTACTTTTTCGTTTCCATAATACAGACCTAACATACGCGATACACCTTTCCTCTATTTTAACAATGCATTCATTCAGATGCTTATCTGCACATTTCTCGGTATTTTCACAGATAGATACTAAGGAATCACATGCAGTGCAATAAATATGAAATGTACGTCTTCCAGGTCCAAATTTCCCATCTTCATATAATCTATCAGTCATATGAATATATTCATTCTTTGAGAAGAATGTTGGGTTATATTCGATAAGTTTCCTGAATGAAACACGAATACGAGAATACCACATTTTTGGCGTTTCATTACTATATCTGTAATGCAGATTAGTTATTGCTCGCATTACTACAGGATTTAAACCAGAATAGTTAGTTTTAACCATTTTTGTAGTTTATAACTGATCTTAGTGATTTAGTGGATTATAGCAATTTCAACGATTTGTAACAAGTATATGATAACAAAATATCGGATTCATTTTTATTTGATTACGTCGTCTTGTTCAAAGAACTAGATTCATAATTTTTCTCGTGATTCGGTTAAATTAGTTCTGAGCCAGTGTAACGGCTAAATTATCACATGAGATCTCCCACACCAAATTCTTTATAAATAGCCCCAGATTGCGTTTTTTTAAATTATTTTACGTTCAATATTGGCATGTCATTCGAATGATTAAACGAATTCAAATGACCCTATTTTTGCTATAAAGTTTAAAGCGTTGTTCATTAGATTAATTGTTAATAATAATATTCTTAAATTCCGGCCAACATAACTGTGCAAATTCATTACCAAATTTGCGCATGAAAATTTAGTCACAACGCAGAATTTATATTTCTGGGCTTCACCAGCGCTGATAAAATTTTCTGAACAGTATTATTTATAGTGAGGAATTTGTCGTAACTACGTAATAAACGAGCTCAGCGAGAACTGAACCCACCTAAGTTCACCATCATCATAAGTTATTACCAAATCAGCGCACGAAAATTCAGTCATAACGTAGAATTCATATTTTTGGGCTTTACCAAACATCCTTGGCGCTGATAAATTTTTTGAACAGTATTATTTATAGTGAGGACTTTGTCATAATTACGTAATTAAATAAGATAACCGATTCAGAACCCACCTAAGTTTCACTAAAATAATAGATCATAACCATTATACTATATAAAAACGTAATCCTGATTTTTCGAAGTATCTAGAACATTTCGTCATTCATTATTATCGTTCATCAACCGATTTTTGCCGATTTAATATAAATCCGATATGGATCAATCGAGTGGATCATCAGTACAAACCCAAATCTTTCCACCTGAAAATATAAAAAATTTTCGCGTTTGCAGAAATATAGTCAAAATGAACTTAAATTGTTTCGTCCTAGATACTGGAGTTCTTTTCCCGATCTCTTTAGGCGAAAAAGTTTCTGTTGAAAAATATGAGTACTCCATAGAATCGTTATCTGTCGGTACCTTCAAGGAGTATATCTGGGAACGTAAAAATAATATTCTTAAAGACCTTACTAATGACGTTTCCAAACTGGATCTTTGGCGTGTTAATGTCGCAGAAGTTGTTAATGTTTCTAACGAAGATGATATTGTTCGAGAACTTAAAGGAGATAAAATGAAAGCTAATTTTCTGCTTAGTGACTATTTTAGTGTTAGTGATCCACCTCCACAGAGGAATATCCATATCATCATACATCGGCCCCCCACCACTGGTAAGTGTCTCCCAATTTTTTACCTCTCGAAACAAAGGAAATTTCGCTATTCTTTCTATATAATGTATTGATCACCTTTATCTCTGCTTACGCTTTGTATTAGATCAAGGGCTCACTAATGTATCTCGTTACATTGCAAACCTTGGCTATCTGCCTCGACAAGGTACATATAAGTTGATGATCTTTAATAGCGATGTTCTATTTCTAACTATCAGTCTTTTTCAGGTGGTCTTGGTGGTACGTTGCTACCTACTGATCTGAAGGTGAAATCTACTAACGAGGGTATTATTCTTACTGACCCTGACATCAGCTTGAGGTTTGATATTATACCTCCTTTAATCCGTGATCTTATGAAGAAGCAAATAATACTTATTCGGGCTCCTCCCTTCGCCGGCAAAACATCGATAGCCCGAATTCTAGAGAATTCTTTGGTTCAGTCGCCGGAACATTCAAATTGTAGGGTTATACGAGTTTCGATGATTTGGGGAATGTCCGCAGGGATAGAAAACTGTTACGAATCATTCGGAGAACTATGGAAGGAAATGTTTGGTATAGGTTGGAGTGAATGGATAGCACAATGCAGACGTGTTAAAACGATTTTGATAATAGATGAGGCTCAATTAATCTACAAGGAAGATCGAAAAATCAACAAAAAGGATAAAAAAACAGCAGATCAATTCTGGACAATCGTTAAGGGTTGCCTTCAAGAATTAGCAAATATATAATGTTTGCGGCCTATGGATATAAAAGTTCTAACTATATAGGACTCACGACTCCTGTCACATTACCAGATTCACATTGCAAAAGTCTTATTGACATCAAGTTTACCCCGAACGAGTTAAGGAATTATGTTATGAGATTCTGTAACAGTTACTTTAATTTAGATCAACAAAGCATCTTAAATTTTTATGCGTATATCCAAGAGATAACAGACGGACACGCGGGTTTGGTTCGTCATATCTTGGTGACTACAGAAGATGCAATGAATAAGCGAATCGTTACTAATCGCCTAACTTTTGAAGATATATTTAAGTACTTGAATTCAAAAAGTTTCAATTCATCTATCTATGCTAACTGCCGTGCTGTCCCAAAAGTTTCTTCACTTTCTGATCCACAAAGAGGTATATGTAAAAATATTTACTTAAATGAAGAAGTTGAGTACGAAGACTCTAATGATGATATGGTGTATCTAGTCAAATCTGGAATCCTTATTTTTAAGAATAATAGTAATTTAACTTTTGCAGCACCTCTTCTTAAGCGGTTATTTTTTCAGCAAAATTACGGATTTACCAATAGTACTGATACTACTCCTACAGATTTGCATCATTTTATCAAGAAGATTTTCACAGCAATGTGTAATGAAATAAGTGGAGACATTTTAAGAAATACGCTTGGATTTGGATCTGACGGAAGACTCCTGGAACAAACATGGCAGAAGGAATTTTATAGAATCGGTACACAGGTATTGGGAAGGGATCATTTTTTGTCATGTGAAGTAGGTTCAGTTTTTGGATGTGAAGGAAAGATAGATTTCTATGTGGACAAGTTAGAATGGGCGATAGAACTTTTGAGAGATGGTGAAGATATGAAAGAACACAAAGCAAGATTTGAACCTTCAGGGGAATATGAAGAGATTGTAAAATATGCAAAGAGTATAGCTATTATTGATATTCGCAGTATAGGTAGACTTGATACTCGCATTGAAGCAAAGAAAGTTTGGGAAAAGAAGGAGGATTTTATATATGTGTCATGCTCTAAAGATTTTGATGCATTTAAGATAGAGTGTTTGGGTAAAGAAACCGTAACTATTAGTTTTCAGGATTAGTTTATTCTTCAATCAGATAAAGTAATATGTAATACGTTGTTTCTCTTGATGCAAAATGCAAAATAATAATAATGCAAACACATGTTTAAAAAATCAAAAGTTTTTATTACATTTTTTCGTAAAGTAGTACATTAGAGAAAAAATAAGTTTAAAACGGAGTAGCGGATGTTTCAAGGGAGGAATAAAGCATAAAGTATGCCTGCCCGCCCCTAGACGTCTTTTACTATGTAAAAGTAATGGCAGTTCCTTCCCACTACTCCGCATTATTAACTACATTAAGTTTGCTATCTAACCATAAACCAATATCATCTAAAGTACTAATGTACACATCCTTTTTCTTGATATTTCTCTCATAAAACCCTTGAACCGTAACCTTCTTAATATTCCCACCTAATTCGCGAATTTCCACTGCTACATGAAGACACATTTCTTCCAAGTTAAATCTTTTTTCTGCCTTAATCTTATCGAAAATTTGCTTGAATTGGGTCCAAATAGTTAAGCTAATACCCTTGAATGTTATCAGTTCTGAATCAAATGATGCACGAGATCGATTGGACGCTTCAGAGTGGTTCGATACACTCTGTTGATCAGTTTCGACCAGCTGGATTCTTCTATTGATTGTATACATTGAATTAATCCATTTTGGAGTGCATCAATAGAAGTATTAACTGAGGCAAAATCATAAGCTTCTTCGATCCCATCAAGCCTTTTGGTAATAGTACTGATCATTTGAAAGATTTTCTGCGCCTCATCGGTGAAGTCATCATCACGTGCCTTGATTTTTTCGGCTTCTGCAGTAAGTTTACCGCAATGAATATGGATTTAAATTTGGAAATACTTGTGTCAACTTTTGCGGTGAGCTTATCGTCAAATTCAGTAAAGGTCTTTTCTATTTCCGGTGTATCAAGATAATCGACAATTTCGATGGCACGTGCATAGAGTTCATCTGTTTGATATTTGACCATATGGTAGCGATCCCCATGAATAACACTGGACCAATGAACAAAAAAACGGCGGTTAAGGTCAAAAAAGGCATGACTCCCGAAGAGTTGAGCAATGACAAACTGGACATGATTAGGCGTACTAGGACCTGTCTCTTATACACATCTAGATGTGTATAAGAGACAGCTAATGTACACATCCTTTTTCTTGATATTTCTCTCATAAAACCCTTGAACCGTAACCTTCTTAATATTCCCACCTAATTCGCGAATTTCCACTGCTACATGAAGACACATTTCTTCCAAGTTAAATCTTTTTTCTGCCTTAATCTTATCGAAAATTTGCTTGAATTGGGTCCAAATAGTTAAGCTAATACCCTTGAATGTTATCAGTTCTGAATCAAATGATGCACGAGATCGATTGGACGCTTCAGAGTGGTTCGATACACTCTGTTGATCAGTTTCGACCAGCTGGATTCTTCTATTGATTGTATACATTGAATTAATCCATTTTGGAGTGCATCAATAGAAGTATTAACTGAGGCAAAATCATAAGCTTCTTCGATCCCATCAAGCCTTTTGGTAATAGTACTGATCATTTGAAAGATTTTCTGCGCCTCATCGGTGAAGTCATCATCACGTGCCTTGATTTTTTCGGCTTCTGCAGTAAGTTTACCGCAATGAATATGGATTTAAATTTGGAAATACTTGTGTCAACTTTTGCGGTGAGCTTATCGTCAAATTCAGTAAAGGTCTTTTCTATTTCCGGTGTATCAAGATAATCGACAATTTCGATGGCACGTGCATAGAGTTCATCTGTTTGATATTTGACCATATGGTAGCGATCCCCATGAATAACACTGGACCAATGAACAAAAAAACGGCGGTTAAGGTCAAAAAAGGCATGACTCCCGAAGAGTTGAGCAATGACAAACTGGACATGATTAGGCGTACTAGGACCCCGAAGAATACATATACAACTCAGATCCAGACCCAAAATTTTAATATAACTTTATACGCCTAATTTTATTAGAAGCTTTATACAAAATCATCACATAAGTTCAAATTTTATTATAAATTATAC